TGACATAACAATAATAGTAGGTTCTTGTTCCTTGATGATCCTAAGAAGATTGGAGCGACCTTGCGGTTGCTCAAGATCTAGACCGCTACGCAAATCGACTGGCTGACCTACTCGAAGACCTGATAGGGCAGCCTTGTGACTCATGCGGGGAGATCCGCCGTAGAGTTCTAGAAAATCAATCTTCCCAATACTGGTGACCTGCCAGTGACACTCTTGATGAGGAATCGTTAGGTCTGTCGACTGCAAGGAAGCATCGAAGGTGACCATACAACTTGCGTGGTCAGAACCTTCTGACGTCAGAGTTTCCTCATCAGGAGCGAGAGGAATCTCCACATCAGATGTTATGTCATAGTTTTTCCTCAGTTTTGAGATATTGACACGGACGATGCGTGTTCCAAGATCCACACCTACCATGGATCCTCCGAGTTCGGAGATCACCTTACCTTTTAGCCAAGATCCATGTTTGGACCCAGTGGATCCAATCTTAGACTTATCTTCTGACCAGTAGAAAACCTTATCTCCCAAAGAGAAAGGTCCTTGGGTCATTGACAGTCTGGCTGCAAGATCTCTACGCAGATCATCAGATTGGCGTGCCTCTTGGTAAGCCCTGTTGGCAAGCTCCTTAATGGCTCTCGCAGTGACTTCCGTATCAGTTGGATTACCTGTCAACTGATTGGGATCGGCGTTCTCTGGTGTGATAACATCTCGAGGACGCCTTCCGAAGGCCATTTCCAAAGGAGTAACTCCTCCGTAGGTAATCGAAGAGTTTCTTGCCAAACATGCTTGGCGAACGAGGTTGCCATACTTCATGGTGATTCCGTTATACTGCGGGTCACCATCCTTCAGGATCTGAAGTATGAGCTTAATCTGATGCTTCAGCAATCTTACAGCAGCTTCGGCCCTGTTGGGCCATGGTGTTCCAGGTCCTGTTGCCACAGGCTTGATATTCTGCCGATTGTAATAAGCCTCCATTTTTGGAGTCATGAATGCTTGATCTCCAACTACAACCTTTGGGTTGATCTGAAATTTTTCAAAGTAGTCATTCATAATAGACATTGTAGTATGTTCTTCTTTATCCTGGACTACTTCGGCAGTCAACAAGTTTGTTGCTCCATCATAGAGTATAAGAAATACTAAGCGACTATCCTTGCCGGGAATTGGAAGCTCACCGTGATCTACAAAGGTGAGATCACCGAAAGTTTCTGATCTTAGACCAGAAATCTTTGCTCTCGAAGGAGCTCTCACATGTTCCTGGCAGGCTGAACACTTTTTGACCAGTTGGTCATATAGCTCGTAGATCTCCTTTGGGATCTGTAAGGCTTTTGTGCGTCGCTTGAACTGATCCGTACTCATATGACGGTGCTTAAGGTGAAGCTTGTAGAGTTCTACAGGGTCCTTAAGCTTCTCATGAATCCTGCGAAGAGCAATGGGAAGAGATGGCGAAGGTTCTGCGACAATCTCTTCACCTGTTGGTGAGTCTGTGCCAGGAGCCGGGTATTCTCTTGACTCAAGTGGTCTTACCTCCGTCCCGTCATCAGCTCCTGGGACTGTAGACTTCTCTTCAACAGGAGGTTTATCCGCATATTTGCGGGTTTTCTTCAGAAGGTTTTTAAGACCCTTTGGAGTCTTTATCTTCGCAGATGGAACCTCAAGTCTTTCTTCTTCTGGAGGTTCATGCGGTGCAGAGGGTTCTGCAGGTTTGTCCCTAGAGCCTGATGATGGTTCCGATGGTCCGGAAGGCTCAGGAACATCTCCAGATGTTTCTGGTGGATCAAGTCTTTTGGCAGATGATTCTGCCGGATCAGATGGAAGAGGCTTCCTTTTCCCTGAAATCCTCTTCGGTGGTGGATCAGCTGCTCCCTCAGGTGCTCTGTCACAACCCTTGAGGTACGTGTGAGCCTTTTTCTGTCCGGCACAGGCTGGACAGCGACCTTCCGGTATCCTAACATAAGGCTTATTGGCTCCTAGAGCAGTCTCCGTCGCACGGAACGATGTACCTGACTTAGGAGGTACTTCCTGGTGGAAGTAAAGCCTAGAAGGTCCAATACCAAATGGTTATTGGTACTAATCGGAAGAGGGGTTTTATACAAACCGAAAGCTTCACACGTTGCTAGGTCAGCTGTGGGACTACACTCGAGAGTCATTCTTAGGTTTCTCATCTGTTCAATGGAGAACAAGATGGGTACTCTTCCCTGATCCAAAACTTCTATGGTTGTATCTCTTCTTGGAGTTGTGTTAAACCATAGAGTTACACGCTCCTTGATAAGAGCTGTTTCACTATCTGCGAAAGAGAACTTCGTGTTCGAAGGTGAAAAAGTGAAATCAATCATGCCTGGGGCATGTTGCTTCACGGCCTTGATAAGCCTGTTCACCGCATAGCGGGAACCCATAGCCCTAGTACAACCAGAGTCAAGAATGACAAAGGTAGGGCTCTTATCAAGATTGATCCGCTCGGTGAGAGCAGATAGGACGGTGTGCTGCAACGGAAACACTGCTGTTGCAGTCTCCACACCTTGCCCCTCAGATGGTTCAAAAACCTGGGGCGCGTAACTCACTGATGAGTTGTACACGGGTTCTTGGTGCGCGCTCGGATCTGTGCCTCTACCTGATGATCCTGCTTGATTTCTTCTCTTCTTTTTCCGTGTCTTTCTTCGTGAGGCTTGTGATGCATAGTATGTATAAGACGTTTGATCGTCATAAGCGGCATAATTCCAACTGGAGTCAGTATAATAACTGTCCTCATACCATGAATCCCAGCTCGGTGCGGTGGAACTTTCATAGGCCTGTGGAGATCCAGTTTGGTCTCCTTGTAAGGAGGCAGACTTAGCTGTATCCTTACCTTTGCCTTTTGATTTTGTACCCTTGAAGGAGCTTCCTTTATCTCCTTTGTCCTTTCCTTTTCCTTTGCCTTTTCCACCTTTTCCTTTTTCTTTTCCTTTACCTTTACCGAAATAGCTGGAATCAGTTGGATCATGTTCTGCCTGGTTGGCTCTCCCTTTTCCGCGGTATGACCTAAAACGGCCACGTCCTTTTCGCTTGCCACCCTTTGCTCTTCCCGGTGATCCGGGACGCATTCTTGGTCTTCTTCCCTTTTTGAATCTCCTTGCAACGAAGGCTTCATGGTCGTCAACTGTCCAGAAGACAGCTTCTTCATCCTCGGCGGCAAGAAAGCCTTCCTCAAGGGTGTCTTCGTCTTGGAGCCAGAATCCATCGACTCCATCGTATTCACCCTGATCGAGGATGAGGAAGTTTCGACCTCCGCGTTTGCGGCGTTGATCTCTCCTTCCATGGCGGTCCTTCTTGTGAGAAGTGTGCCGAATATTGGGATCCTGCAGACCAGTTCTGGTCGTTGAGAACTGATCGAACATGGTCTGCCGTACTATAGGGTACGTGTAGGTCTCAATTCGGTAACCTTGGTTGGTCAATGCTGTTACCAACCTCTCACGTTGCATCTCATTTAGGTCGGACTGCACTAGGAAGAGGAGAGCTAGGAGATTATCATTTAGAGGAAACGCTCTTCGATGATTATCAAGGCGTTCCTTGTTCCATGTTTCGAAGAAACGTGCGGCGTATGTGTCTCTCTCGGTTGCATCCTGTAGGCGTATGAAGGTTTGATCTGCTTGCACAGCCTGCATGAAATCAGGATGGGCATCTTCCAGAATTATCTCTGGTAAGAGATCCATCCATGAATTTCTCACGCGCTGTAGCACGATCTCAAACTTAGCAATCCAAGTCACAAAGTCTTGGTTGCCCTTCCATGCCTTGAATAGGCCGAGAAAACGCCACAGGAAAACGTACTGTTCTCCTTTCACGAAAAATGGACGCATCTTCTTCTTGAAGTAATCTACTCCGTCTGGGGCTGCAAGCCTTTCTCGGTTGAGTGATTCTTTTTGTACTGCGGCCAATCCGGAGAGCCTCGTCTTGAGAGACGGACCTCTTTTGGTATCATCCAGCGTTGTTATATCGCACCAGTCGTCAATCAACTGTTCATACTCAAACCACGAGGTGGTGCCATCATAGGCAGGCGCGATTTTGGGCGTTATGCCTAATGATGCAAGCATGCGGTCAGATGTTGCATATGACTGTGCGACATAAGTAGCTGGACCTTGGGAGGTCTCTTCGTTCTCATATCCCCCGGAGGATTGGGAACTGCCGTCGGCTTCGCTATGCGAGCTCGACATTGTGCTGCCTCTTGTCCGCTTGGTTAAGCGTTCGGCGAGGCCGACCGCTGTAGCGGACTTTGTGAGGCGGGCGGCCCTTTCCGGGCTCCGCTACCAGAAAACTGTGCCGATACACCCCCAAGGGATACTCCTTGTAAGGAGGTGTATGACCAGTTTATTCCCTAAGGATCAAAGGGCAGCGCCCTGCACACGGACAGTAGTTGTTTTGTCTTGCTACGCAAGGAGAGCTTGTCTTGTCTCAATATGGTAAAACCACTGTGAGCCAATGGGCAGCGGAATGTATATGTATGAGCATGCAGCCATTGCTGTAGGTACCTGTTAGAGCTACCCCTTTAGAGGTTTATGGTTTCACCCTCCCTCCCTCCCTCCCTCCCTGCCCCCCCTTTCCCAAGCAAAAGCTAAAAACAAAAAAAATTACCCCAATAAAACAAAAAAACATTCCTCAAATAATTCCGGACCCCCCGGAGGGCCCTCCCCGGAAGGGCAGACTGAAGAGATTCAGACCGACAAACCGAGGAAGAGTAATCCTGAACCTTAAGGTGAAGGTCCTTCCTGGAAGTGAGAGTACGCTCAAGAAAAGCACTCCCGATCCGGGGTAGCCGAAAGCCTTCGGTAAGCTTAAGGGCGCCTTATCTAGGGCTAGGGGCGACCCTGCAGTGAGGCCCCTATTGTTTAGGTTCTATAGTGTGGCAAAGCCGGAAGTCGATCCGGCGTGACTGCACAGGCAAATACCCAGAGCTCCAACAAAGTCTGCGACACCCAAACACGACGCGCCCCGTGTGGTCATAGCACCTTACCACACCACAAACTTTGAGCCAGGTACATTCGAATTGATGGCAAAGTGCCAAAACATCGCCGACAGGCCTGTACACCGAAAAGCCCGCACTTGCCTCGGTGAAACCCCATATAACACCTGTGTAGAGCTCCAAGAACACTCATGCAAATGTGAGAGGCTCTGGGCTTTGGAGTCTTGGGGCTTGGGATCGATCCCCCAACCCCTCCCTTGTAAGTTTCTGCTTGATGATCCGCATACAGCTACAGTATAGCACATACATCTATGAACATTCACCCCCAAGGCCCTCTCCTCAGTTGCAAACTCCCTGGACAGCCCCAAAGTACTGCACGTCTCATGCATCTGAGAGGGTGGAGGCCCCAACCCATGTCGGAGGGCTCAAGCGCTGCTTAGACCTCCTCTTTGTGTGTGTGTTTGCATTGAGGCGTCGAGGCTCAGGCCTCGGAGCATCAAACTACAAGCCGCGACTGTCGAAGTTCAGAGCCGCAAGCCGCAGTCAAATCGCAAAGTCCTGCAGTGGAAGGGCATAATCGACAAGTTCCAGGAGGAGCCCGACATTCAGGCCTGGTGTTAGGGCTCTCTACGGATTCGGGATCTAGAGAGTTGAGTTCGCAAAGCTTCCCTTGCCGCTACTCGCAGGTGCCCACTTGCAGGGCTTTTTTGTCTTGTCTCAGGTCTGCGGGCCCTTCCACCAAGCGCCCAGCACACAAACCCCAACAGAACCTAAAGCCCTATGCTGGATATCCCTGAAGCGTACCTACATGTCTTTCACATGTAATCAGAATGCGAGAGCCTCAATCACGAATGCGCCTTTCAACTCAATCCCCGACTTGCGGTCCCCCCAACACCCCTGAAACCCTGAAGCCTAGAAAATCCGACCATGGTCGCATAAAACCTTGAGCCGACAGGTGGCGCTGGCAGGGTCCGGGCCTTAGAGGGGGGGGCAGGGTGGAGGGGGGAGGGTTTCAGGTTGTAGGACTTTTTGGGCATGAGCGATCAAAGCCAAGGATGAGGGTTTTAGAGTTCGGCTTTCACGCTATGTCTGGCTTTTGGCAGGGAGCAAATCGACTTTTTGTGAGGTGTTTTGGAAGGTTTAGGTTCCTTGGCCCTGAAGGGCTTTGCATGACAGCTGGGCTTTCTCAGATCACATAGGCCACCCTGGAGCTTAAATCGTGGACTTTCATCCCAAGAACCCAAACCCCAAGACCCTAACCTCTATACCCCTGCGCCACCTTTAGAGGAGGCCCTAGACAGCCCTCGAGGATGAAAGCTTGTGGGCACGGGATTTCCTTCACCGCCGCCGGGAGCTCGGGGGAGTTTGCCGGAATGGCGGAACTGCTTTCGCATCCCAGGAAGGAGGTGTTTAGTTGATTTTGCTGGGGAAGGCGTGGAGAGAAGACAGAAGACTTGTTGTTTGTTGGGTTCAGGACGTTCCAGGGGTGTCAGGGGCATGGTTGAGGCTGCATGTCTTCAGGATGGTTGAGGTTTCAGGTTTTGACTCTAGGGCTGTTGGTTTGGCCTGAGCTGAGGCTTTAAATGTGTCGTTTTTGCGAGCTTGGGAGTGAAAGTGACAGCCGCTTCGATCTCAAACTACATGCACACGCTGCAGCCCGAAATGCCACCGGTTGCTGTCGCAAGCTTGGGTCCTTTCTAGTGATTCTAGTCATCATTGAAATTGCAGCTACTCGTACAAGCAAACCCGGGCAGAAGTTACGGTAGATCGAAGACGGAGACCTCCGCGGCACCGGGATTGAGACTTTTCCTTCGAGCCCCTACAAACCATTCAGCAATGCCTTGTGCTTGCGGCTGCGGCCCCTGACACAAGCACTGAGAGTTCCGTATTTGGAGACTGTGCAAATGCTGTCGGTAGAGAAGCCAAAACCGCGAATGAAGACTGTGCTGAAGACCAAGATCGTCATGGCGCAGATTCACGACGGACATGTGCATTTTGCCAGTTTACTACTTAACCTGGAAGACGAGACCCTATCAGCAAGATTGCAGACCCGTCAGCATACGCAGACCTGGACACCACCTCTAAGCCACCCCCACGAAGCGAGGCGTTAACCATTCTCCCATCTTTGTTCGGGCAGTGCCTAGCAGTGCCGAGCAGCTGAGGCATCTTTGGTGATTTTCGCAGAGCTGCACTGGGTGCCGGCGAGGCCCCGCTCGCCTTGGCCAAAGGAAGCTTCGGGGCGACTCGTAGTCGGCGGTGGGTGCAAGCGGCCGACGGCTTCAGGGTGCAAGAGACGGGACGTAAGTGGCAGGGACTCCGGCCTCTGCTTTTGAAATCTGAGGGGACTGTTAAGTTCGGAAGCCCACCACCCTGATGCAAATTCTTGGACACCTTAAGCAGCCTCCAATGCGACTACGTAGTTCTACTTTCTGAGACAGTTTCGGGGTTTCCTGCCAGGGATGTATGGTGTCTGCTCATGTTTGGCTACGGATCCTTTTTGCGTCCAGTGCCTGTCGGTACCGATGAAGCCTTGCATTATCCTTCCGATTCGTTATTATGTTCACCGTCGTCTTTCGGGGGACCATGCGAACCTGGCTGCAGGGATGTTTCGGAAGAACATTTATTCTCGAAAGACGGACCTACTCGATCTCACCGGACATTTGCCTCGCGTGGAGCAGCAATTTGTTCTCGAGCAACCTCGAGATACAGCACCCCCACAAATATCCCGCTGGCACTGGGGCTTTAGAATGTTTCTTCACAAGCCGGGCAAATGGGGTTCGTTTACACTGTGGAAAATATGTGGAATCAGACAACACCCACTCAGAAGGTTACGAAAACCGCAGTCCCCCAACCTCAGTGTGCCTTCGGCCGTGTACCTTGCGAATCCTGAGCACTTAAACCGTAAACCTGTATAAACCCTGGATCGTCACAAAAGCAGTAGACTTTTACAGTCTAGGTTTTCAGAAACCCAACACTGAAGTCACCCTCCACGCAGTCTGCTCCAAGCCGAAGATCGGGTGCACCGGCATGGGCCCAGCCCGCCGCGCTTGGTGTCGGGCTTCCGGGCTCAGCCTTCAGAGACGGACGACGTAAGCACTTAAGGCTGAGGCGATTTTGGGGTAAGGGGATGTAGGGTCTGCAGGGCTATACCGATTAAGGCTCAGAGACTTACAGAGCTCCAGAATCTTTCTACTTGCAACTGTCAACGGCCCTCACAGGAAACCTTGAGTCCTGACACGCTGGCTACTCTCGGGGGACTTTGGGATGCAGTTTAAAGGTGCTTGCTTCATGTCGCTTGCACAATGCCCTATCCTGGAGCCTCATATGAAGCTTTCTAAAAGCCTTTCGATGAGGCGGGGCGAGGTAGGCCTTTCATTAGGATCCTGTTTATTACAGCAGGGTCCTAGTCTCAACTCGCGGGGTGCATGGCAGGCAGGAGCACGACGTTGAGATCGTGTACTGTGTGCGGTGGCTCAGGATCACACCGCCTGATGGTTTGAAACCCTCTGAGACCCAGCCTCGCCTCATTTCTCTCTTCTTGGCTACGCGTCGCTTGCAGGCCCGTGCTCTGCCAGCACTAGAATCACTAGAATGCCATGTGAGGGCCCATGTGAGTAGCAAGGATGAAAGCAGGTTCAGTAGCCTGATACTGACAGCTATGGCATGCGCAACACTAGTCGGGGGGTTAACAGTCTAACGGTGAGAACAGCAACAGTCGCAGCGCCAGATTCGATGACATGAGTAGGATGAGCTACTTCAAGGCCAACTGCCTTAAGTCGAGTACCTATAGCCTAGGTTCGTTCGCCACTGAAGCCCCAAAGCGCTAGCAGCCCAAACCCCGAAACTCGGGTTGGAAAGTTGCCCGTCCCGTTAACTCAAAGCCTCACCCAACCCCCAACCCCCAAGTCTCCAATGCACTTAATCCGTGGCATGTGTCGACGATCCAGTTTCTTGCAGTTTGGATATTCTTATACCGAGTTTTGACCCCGTTAACTTCCCTAGCCCAGAAAGAGGTCCTTCAACCCTCAACATAAAACACATCACCGAACCCTGAGGTTTGTAGGTAACAGTCTTGGGTCCCAAACCAGCAAAAAGGGGAGCCTAGTTTAGAGAACTACCCACATGTATTCCGGCCGTGATCTCTGCACATTCATATCGCTCCAAGCGCCTGAGGTCGCCGAAGGCCAGCCCTTCATGGACGACTCGATCCTAAAGCGCCGGCCTCGCCTCTTGGGGGTGGGGGGGGGTCTTAGGTCTTAGGTTCTTGGGGGGTTAGGGAGTCTAAGGGGCCGGGGCTAGGGACTTTGGGCCCGCAAATCTTTGAAGCCAGTTTGTTCGTCTCATTGCGACTTGCGACGTTGTTGGGTTGTAGCCTTTACCAGCGGGCCATGTAAGCTGCCAACTCCTGTCGCAGTTTCCACAGAATGCTCCACATGAAGGGTATAGAGGATACTGTGCCGGGCGGTCCAGAAGCATTTTGGAAGGTTCATGGTCAGATGGAAGTGGTCCGTTGTCTTTATGGGTTCCTGTGAGTTCGATGGTCATGGTTTAACCATCTGTGTCAGTCTCATCATGTTCCATCTGCTTGATTCTCCGGGACCCCATCATAAACTCGAAACTCCAAGCATCAGCCTGATCCACGATGTTCCAAGCCTGAACCTTCGACAGGAAGGTGTGCGAGAAAGAGCAGATCGCCAACTTGATTACTGACGGAAAGAAGCTGTGGGGACCCCGTGGGCTTGGGTCTTTGGGTTTTGGAGCTGCTTGGTTTCATGTGTTGAGGCTCGGGAATGTTCCTGGCTTCTTCGGGCCGGCTTTGCAGCTTCAACCCAGATCAGCCGGCATAGCGTCCTGGACCCCAGGCAGTAACCTTCCTTCTCGGCCGCCGGTGATGTCTTCATGATCTTATGCTTTCGGGTTGAGGTTTTCAGCTCTGGTACTCCTCGGCAGGACATTGTGTTGCTGACATGTGAGAGCGTAGGGATCCGACGAAACCCTGAGAGTCTCAAACGGCTGGATGTTCGCGCAAAGCTGAACTCAGGGAGCTGGCACCGACATTGAAGCCCCAGCTCTAGTAGGCCCTGAGCCTGACCTGATCCAAGGGAGAGTGCCTTCTCCCTCTTGCCGAAGGATCAGGCCAATCGATCCAGCGATGTGCTACTTCTATTTTCTTATTACCTGTCGCCCGAGCCGCTGCTACTGAGGGTTCTATATTCTATGGCTATGTGCGCTGTAACCTGCGATTCAGACTTCTTTCCGTTTTTTTCAAGCTTCGTTGGCATAACCACTACATTGTCACTACATTTAGTGCTGGTACTAAGCAGCAGCAGGAGCAGCAGAGGCAGTATGTGCCAGAGGAGCAGGAGCCGTCGTCGCCGTGGTGCTGGTGTTGGTGCTGGTGCTGGTGGTGGTGGTGGTGGTGCTGCTGCTGCTGCTGCTGCAGCTGCAGCTGCTGCTGCTGCTGCTGCTGGTGCTGCTGGTGCTGCTGGTGCTGCTGGTGCTGCTGGTGCTGCTGGTGCTGCTGGTGCTGCTGGTGCTGGGTGCTGCTGCTGGTGCTGCTGCTGGTGCTGCTGCTGGTGCTGGTGCTGGTGCTGGTGCTGCTGCTGCTGCTGCTGCTGCTGCTGCTGCTGCTGCTGGCGGTGGCGGTGGCGGTGGCGGTGGCGGCAGAATGCTGCAGGTAGGAGTGTAGGAGCAAGGTAGTAGGGGTTTAGTGCTGGTGCCAATGCTAGTGCGAGTGCTGGTGCGGTAGGAGGTGGTAGTACATGGTAGTTCTAGTGGTAGTCGTCGTCGCTGAGAAGTATTACCATTGATTTCCTTGTAATGTTACTTGTTTCTGCTCTTAGCCGTCATAATAGAGTTCTGTTTGCCAACACCCTTATTATTATACACAAAATTTGGTCGTGCCGCTAGCATCCTTGTTCCTATCCCTTTGAGCAACTGTGTCTGCTACTGTCATGTGTCCACCACGTTTAGCAGAAAGTTTAGCACCGTTCTTGAGGTGTAGGGTTCTTGCCTTCGGGCTGGAGACGGGGCTTAACGCTTCGGGCTGACGGTTCAGATCTTCGCAACAGGGTACCCTAGGCTGTCGGGAGAGCATCTCAAGGAGCCTGATATGCCTGGCTTCCAGCAGCCGGGGCTCCATGGGCTCTTAGCCTCAAGTGACTCTAGCCGGCTTGAGCCTAGGGTTTGGGCTTACGGAGCTTCAGCTCCGCACCTGGCCGAGTTCTTGCGGAGGTTTTGAGTCACAAGCACCCACCCGGCCGAGATTTGTGCCTTGATGCGGTTTTCCCTGGCTCGGGGCTGCTGGGCCTTTGGGTGGCTTCATGCTTCAAGAAGTTACATAGCGTGATGGGTCAGGATCCCGGATTCTGCAGGGCCGTTTCGGAGCTTAGGGGTTGGTGCCTTCAGCCCTGTTGGAGGGATTCGCGAGTAGTTCGTCACTCAGGCCGGATCTACAATGGACCCCATAAAATCCATAAACCGCCATAAGGATACCCCTGAGGCCAGCCCCTATGATCCCAAAGCCAGCGCTCCGGAAGGCCACCAGCCCGACGTCCTCGTGAAGTGCGTGAAGTCGCAGCCCGCTGGACTCGCTTCGTTGAATCCCGGGCCCTAGATTCCCTGCCCAACATAGCTCCGAAGGCATTCCAAGACCTCCAAAGTCCAGCCTCTCACACTGTGACGGACGTGCCTGAACTAGCCGACTCAGTGCGTACCCAAAGAAGCTCAATAAGAATAGCATGTTAGCTGAGGTTTCACGTTCAGCTGCAAACATGTACTGCAAGGATCTGTGACGAGCTTGTGAGACCCTGAAGTACCGTTGATAGCAACGATGCAACATCACTGATAACATGCCGCGTCTGACCCTGTATCTATATCGTATGTGTGTTTACAAAACAGAAGCACAAGCGCAGACCCTGCCAAGGGGCGCCCTAAAGCTCACTAACCCTGGACCCCTGCAGAGGGACCCGCAGATCGTAGATCACAGCAACAAAGAGATGAGCTCGGCAAGTGAAAAGTGTTGGTAGCCGCTGCAAGCTCTCGTCACTTGTTGAGTTCTGGACAGAAACTGATCCTCAAACCCCAAATCCTCAACCGAACATGCCCATAAGTGTGGACGAGATGTTTAGATGAATTCGTGCACGAATTCGTGCAGCCACAGCCTTCCAGGACAAGGGCAAGGCAGTAGGGAACTTTGTGTTTGGGGTTAAGGGTGCAGGGATTTAGGGCGTTTCGGACTGCGTGCTCAGGGTGTTTTGGACTTGAGTCGAAACTCTCGCCTGAAGCACGAATGTAAGCTCGGACTTAGAGCACAACCACACAGACTACGACGAGAGCTTCGTGCATCAGGGCTTCGGATGTTCAGTTTCTTTGAGTTCTACGTCGAGGAGCCCGATTACTGGAAAATCCGGGGTTCCGAGCCCGTGTCTTCTCTGGCTTCATGCTGCAGCACAGGGCGACGACCGCCCTTGACCGGAAGCTGAGGGCGTCACGCCGTTTGTGGAGCCCTAGGCTACGGGTCATGGAATACCCATGATACGACGCAGCGCCTTTAGCTCAAGTGGAAAAATGTGACCGCATAGGGTCGTACAGTTCAATTGAAACAAAAAGTGTGGCGCGTCTTCGACTGCATATGAATGTTATTTGATTGGAGATGTTCTTTTATATTCGGAAAGATATTGGAATACGAGTTTCACACATCAATTCCTTTTCTTTGTTGATGCCCGGTGTTTTGCACAAAAACCAGGCGCCCTACGCCCTACAGCTAAACCCTCCCGCACTTTTTGCAAGGCCTCGAATCTCTGAAGCGAACCTTTTTGTAGCATGCACTTGATCAGTCCTGATCGACATTGTGGTTCCGTGGTTCTGACAGTTTGTTTTTGGCTCGAAATAGCTTCCGTGTGCCGAATACTTGCCAAGTCATGGCTCATTCGGTTCTGCCTGTTCAGTTTACGCTCGGGCCCCAGCGCAAAGCCAGTTTAACACAGACATATGTGCGCAATGCTTCCAGGATTGCGCAGCGTTTCGGCTTCGTCCATTTTCCTTCGGAAGAGGCACCTCCGAAGATTGTACTGCATAGTGCCTGATGTGTTTGTGAAGTCCTATCTTGTTGGGATCCACCCCGTTTTTGCCAGGTTGTACAGAGTCCTTCAGCGAAGTCCTGTCCTGCAAGCTTGGTGTTGATCTTGGCTTTCAGCTCGTATTTGAAGGCTTCTCACAAGCCACTACGCTGATCTGAGGAGTACACCGAACATGCTGAGCACACTGTCTGGCCCGACACGGATTCCAGTGTTGAGCCTCTCGAGGCAAGCACTGAGTCTGAGGAGCCCAGCAAGGCACGTTCCGCGGCGCGTAAAGCATATCAGCTTCTTCGTTTGAGTTTGGTGCAATGATTCAGGTTTTGGCAGGCAGTTTGTGATGGGGAGCTTGATGCGGTTTCGGTTTTTCGATTTCACTCGATCTTCGAAAGTCTTCCAGGAGATAGCAAAGATTAATCCGTCTCCAGGCAAGCGACTCGCAGAAAAAGGATCCCTGAGTGATCCACTGCCATTCTGTCTAGGGTAGCCGCGGCTTGCGGGCACTGTGCGAGACTGTTCCCAATGAGCATGCATGCAAAGCAAGAGGACATATGTTGAGGTCTTCACAGTGAGGTAGCGGCTCAATCGCGGCAGAATTTTTGCCTTGTCGCCACCGTTGCTGGGATCGGAAACGTGCGTAAAATCAAAATGCCCCTGAGGTCTGATGGTTCCATGGGCTAACGCCCCGTAATCTTTTTCCGCCAATCCTGCTGTAAGAGCTGTTTGCCAGCACTTTGTGCCATGCAAGTTGCGTCTTCGGTCTCCTTGCATTCCGTGTTGGTTCAAACAGCAGCTTATGTGTTGAGGATTGGTGAGCCTAACATGAGATCCACATTATCATTCCACATCCCCGAGCACGGCGCTTATTACCACTCTGCTAGCCCGAAGGAGTTTCGGGTTGTTGCCCCCAGCTATGCGACGATTGAAATCCACAATCCAAGGAACCCCACCTGGAGCTGTGACTTTAGGTTCCCTGAGCGAATCTACTTTTTGTGCTAAAAAGATCATTTCGTTGAGCTGACGTTACATGCATTCGCCAAAGCTGTGATTTGCTTTTGTGCCATGCCCAAGAAGTTGCTGAACAAGAAGCTGAAGGCTCGACCTGTTCACGACAACTGCCTCGGGTCTGTCTCACTTCATCCTTATTACGAGTGATCGAGGTCGGCCCAGTTTTGGACGACACATGGTTCGACTGGGCAAGGCTTACGCAAGAGGCGAGGCCTGACCGATGGTGTCAGTAGCCTAAAGCATCCTAAAGCATATAATGCTTCACTTGTGCCGCCAGGAACTCCGGCAGGAAGAGCTGCGTGCGCAACGCGTTGAGCTTCGGCCGAGTTTCTAACAGAAACCAGTTTCCATGTTTTTTCGTTGTTCGGTGCTTTGCACAGTGTCTCGAGGATGGCCTCTTCGACTGGAGCGCCCTTGAGCAAGCTGAGGACGGGTTGGGACGCCAGGGCGCAGAGCCTGGAGCACGGGATTACTCTTTATTGCTATCATTATATACGACAGGGCCCCACCCTGAACAATGAAACGTTTAGGGGGGTACGTAAATGAAACATGATATTCGGCTTCAAATTTTAACATGTTGCATAGCCATGCTTATAAGGTGCTTTTTCCTACGTACTCGCACAGAATTACTCGCACATACCCGCGCATATACCCGCACATACTCGCGCATATGCCCGCGCATATATTCGCGCATACCCCTGCCAGCATACCCGCGCATACTCGCACGTACTCGCGCATACCCGCGCATACCCGCACATACCCACGCATACTCGCGCATATACCCGCGCATACTCGCGCATACCCGCGCATCCCTGCGCATACCCACGCATACTCGTGCATACTCGCGCATATACCCGCGCATACTCGCACGTATTCGCGCATATACTCGCGCATACCCGCACGTATACTCAGGCATACCTGCGCATATATCCGCGCATGCTCGCACGTACTGGCGCATACTCGCGCATACCCATGGCCGCAAAGCCTCGCATACTCTCGCATGCCCGTTCATACTTGCGCACACCCGCGATTCCCGCGCATATACTCGCACGTACCGGCGCATACTTGCAGGTACCCGCACATACCCGCGCATACTCGCGCATACCTGTGCATACTCGCACACACCCGCGCACACCCACCTCGCGCATCTACAAGTGCATACCCGCGCATACTCGATGTACTCGCGCGTGCACGCACATTTTCGCGGGTACCCGCGCATACCCGCATGCACCCGCGCATTCCCGCGCATATACTCGCACGTACCTGCGCATACCCACGTGATCACCACCCCCTTGTGGCTTGAAGCGGAGGGGGGGGGTGAGGCTCTGAAGTATTTCAGGGCAGCTTCGGTCGAGGTGGGGGTTCAGACCTGGGGGGTGGGGGTCGGGCTTGAAATTTCAGGGCTGTCCTGGGATAGCGAGTCATCTTCCATTTCAAGAGAGTTGCCGTTCGCACCCGCAGGATGGGCTCCGGTAGCCTCGTTTTTAAGGCTGCTACTATCTTTTTATGAGAAATGTACTAAATTTCTCCTATGCGAGGCTAGGTGGCCTCCTCTATTGGGCTGCTACTATATTTCTATTAGAAATCCAATAAATTCCTACTATGCGGGGCTATGGTAGCCTCTTTTATTAGGCTGCTACTAGATTTCTATGAGAAATCTACTAAATTACGTGCAGCATGTCTGGATCATCCCACATCACACCGGCAGCAAAGCAGGCGCATGCCGGTGAACCTCGCACAGGAGCGCACGAAAGCCTGCCGAGGGTTCTTTGGCCCGGGCACCACCTGCGCAAACTTGCTGCACGCTAAAGTCGCGGGAGCTCGCCGATGCAAAATGAAGTATGTGGGGAAAGGGTTGGGCGGCAAGCAGGAAACTGCTGGGGGAAAGGGTTGTGGCCACGGCGTGCTTGCGACCTTGCCTAGAGACTCCAGTACATGTGCATCCCACGTCAAAGGGAAAGAAGGGCGGGTGCAACAAGCTTGAGAAAAGCTGATGCTTGTTGGCGCACCAGGGGGAGCTGCTAGACGAAACAAAAACAAGCGGTTTCGAGTGCCGAAATTTTCACTGCATGGACAGATCTGCGCACCCAAGCCTACCTACCTCCCCCTCCGAGCACCCCTGTTGAAATTTCACGGAACCTTCACCCCCTAGGCTCTATTCTATTTCATGCAGGTGGCTGAAACGGATTCAGCCTTATAAGGGGGGGGGAGGGCCTCAGACCCCCCCCTTGACAAGGGGGTACTGATCCCACGTGTACTCGCGCATATACCCGCGCACACCTGCGCATACTCGCACGTACCCGCGCATACCCGCGCATACTCGCGCATACCCGCGCAGACCCGCGCATACTCGACGTATATTCGCGCATACCCGAATCATCTTGCAGTTGTAGCCCTGCTTCCCACGCTCCCAGCGAGCACCAGCTAAACCATAAAAGTTGCAAACCAGCAAAGATCGCCTGGACGTGCCACGGAAAATCCTGACAAGCTGAAGTCGCCCCGCCTTGACATACTGAGTATAGTATGAGGGCTAAGCATCCCCACCCGCGAAACATATCAAGGAGCACTCTTTCGATAAACAGATGCTACACCAGAAGTGCGACTACCATCTGGGCTCACCCCATACAATTACATGTGAATCATTCTTCACCTGATGCGTCGTGGATTTTTTAACCAAGGCTGTTACATGCGTCTCCCCTATATAGCGCCATAAAATCAGGTGTGTTGTCAACCACAAACTCCCACCTGCCAACCTGGCTTACACCATCGATATTGCATAGCCGAAAAGAGAAAGCTCATCGCCATGGTTTCCATGTCGAATGTGCAATTAACTTGTTCCGTCCGTTACGGGACAAATAGTACCCACCACTGTCCATCAAGGGTCGCCGGCTACTGTAATAGTGAGAAAGACACAGTTCGGTGAAAACCATCGCCAAACCAGCCAACCACCTCATAAGTGATGCACAATGATGCACACGACGAATTCTGTGAAACCACCATATAACTTTACTGCTTTCGCCCCTTCTGCGCCTCCGGGGTCTCCCCGCGACGCTCCTCCGCCTGATGCTTATCCGTTTTGACTGGTGTTGAAGGCTGATGTCAATGTTGGTCCGCAACCTTGATGCCATCAAGAAACGCCCGTTGCGTGGCCCCCCTAGACAACTGCACTCCTCTGACTGGACGGGTGTTCTGAGCCTCCTGCGCGGCCGCCGCATTGACAGGTTTGACTTCAATCGCCCGAGGCTGCGATTGAAGTATATAATTAATGTGCTGGCGCATCCAAACCCCTTGTCTTTGCTAAGAAGATGCACTGCTTGTCATGGTAGTACACGATCTCCTCCACATCCCATTGATGTGACACCAGCAGCATATGAATGCCCTCCAAGCCTGCTGCCATGGGAATCCCCGTGACCTTCCACCGACCCATCGAACCGAGCGATGGCAAACGCTGCGCCTTGGAAAAACTCCTCCACCATCACCTCAGACTCAAAGCGAACGGCCAGACCGACCCTTCTCCGCCAAACCCCTGTCCTGATCATGTTCCGCCATCCTAAGTGCTCTGTCCAATGTAACAAATGCTTCCATCCAACCAACACAGCTCAAGGGCATGTCCAGCCTCATCGCGATGAACCTTCATGACGACACTCGATTTGCCACAGGCCCGGGGATAAGTGTGCAACCCTAACTCCTCCGGTTCCTGGGTAGCAACCGCCGCCCACCCTACTGTGGCAAGCACCTGTACAATTGCAACACCATCCTGCAGCAAAGTAGGCTGCATTCGAAAACGTGCCGCCAGAGGCTACGACTCCTCCACGGCCTCCGGATCAACCTCCACCGTGACCTTACACCTACCTTTGCTTTCCCCCTTGGGCCCCTTCCCATTGCAATTCAAGGCGTGAGCACTCCTATTTCGCATCTTACGATTCCAGAAAACAATCAAGTTGATGGAGCACTTTGCCATTCCATACCATGCCTCAAGAGCACAAACACAGGCGTTTTTGGTGCCAAGCGCACACTGTCACAGCATCCAAGAGGCCTTCACCACACCCGGCATGTGCCCGTGCCTCGCGGATTTAGCTGCCGGGGACCCCGTAGGTTCACAGAACCCAAACTGTAAACACAAAATCTGAACCCCTACACACCATGCACCCAAAACGCCAACCCCCAAGCCCTTAGCCCCACCCGGTAAAGCCTGCACTAGACGATTTGGGCCCCACACTGCACATCAAGGACTCACGTTTCTCTAGTTGCAGGTTTCAAGATTGGGTTTAGGGTTCCGCGTCTATGTTTTAGGGCTCAGGGTAGCGCAACCCAACGCCCGTTTTGATCTGACTGTGTTTGGGGCGCAGGGGTTGGAGTTCGAGTTTGGAAGGCACGGTACAAGCATGGAGTTGTTGCGCTCCAGGAGTGCAGCAAGGCACGCGCTGCCTTAAACAAGGCCGCGCACCAGCGGCGGCAGCAGCGGCTTGCAGGGATGACGCCGCGCGGGCGTCGCCTGACCCTCAATTGGTGCCTGCTGGTTCTACCGGCCTCTGTTGTGTGGCCCACGTGTTGGTGCTGAGGTGGCGTGGCCATCTGCAGCCTGCCGGTCCTGGCATCCGGGCACTGCATGTGGTCCCAGGAAGGCCTCCAGTCGGTTCAATCCTTGTTGAAATTTTGATGCGGCACGTTTGTCAAACCAGGTGGTGCGGGGCGTTTGCGTTCGCTCAGCCACGACAAAAGCAGGCGGCAACGGCGCTTCTATTCTCCACGATACTTCAATGCAAGCCTGTCGAGGCCAATATCGCCAAGATGCTGCGACAAGAGGTGGTGCACTGTGTTATTGTCAGTCCAGTTCGAAAGCAAATTCCCCAAACTTTGGGTTGCAAATGCATGCTTCCAGATTTGTACATTGGGGGGCTGAAAGCCTTGGGAAGGCTTTTGTTTTCGGACCTTTTCGGATCTAGCATTGGGATCGGGTGGAAAGCACCTCAGCAGTCTGGTCTCGAGATCCTTTCTAGCCCCATGCCTCCATTTCCCAAGTGCTGCCGGCAGCTGCCGCCCGCATTTTAGACGGATCTTCCATTGACACATGCGCACGCTATGCAGACATGAGGAGACTTATGCGTGCAATCAACCGAAAGCTAAGCTAACCGAAACAAAAACCTAGGTTACGGCCCGAAGACGCGCGCGGTCCAGCAGTAGTGTGGAGCTTTGAGTCCCAAAACACCGAACCTATTCCCAAAACCTTGAGTTCCAACCAGACCCGCAGCCCCAAACACTAAGCCCTCAACCTCAATTCCTGGGCCCCCGTGAAGCTGCTGGCAAGGCCGACCACTAGAGCCCAGGTTTTCTGGGCCGCTGCGTCAAGGTGCCTCGGCTGTTGGGTGCAAGGTTTAAGGCGTAAGGGTGAAGTCTGGGGGCTTCCATGGAGGATCCTCGATAGAGCAATTTAGGGTATAAGGCCCAGTATGGTAGCGGACGGGTGCTAACGTACGAGCTCCAAGCATAGCTCTCTAATCACGCTCCCAAAACCCTAACAAACCAGGCCGGAGCCTGTCATGCGTTCTGATTCCAGCGGCACAGCTGGAACCTGAAGCTGTGAAACAGCCGTGCATCCCAAATTCCGAAAGCCCAACACAGAAAGACAAGTGCCCCGAGCAAGGACACCTCGATCCGCCCCACGCCGAAACCCCTCGCACCCAAGCCTTGCGACCGTTCGAACCCTCAACCACCGAGCTTAACGCGTGTAAGCTGATACCCCCAGCGCGGCTTCCGACAGTGAATGTTTCTGCGGGGGTGGCGTGGCGCTGAGTTTCCAAGAGGCGCGCCGTGCTCGAAGCGTGTACGGCTTTCGCAGCATGCCTCTACCTATATACCGTCGGATCCTTGAAATGACAGGGCTTACTGTTGGAGGTTTGAGGCTCGTGAATACAGCAGAACACCTGGGACCGGAAACGCAGCGGCCCCTGCCTTCTTCCGGGCTGCGTTAAGTGACAGATGCTCCGCTTGTTCTGGGATGTGGTTTGCTTTTTTGGGGGTGTGAGGTCCTGCTGCATAGCACCATTTCCTCATGAACCTGAAGCCCTAAACCTTCAACCCCAAAACCTGAACCTTGAACCTTAGACTCCAAGCCTCAGGGCTCTAAGAAGACATTCCATGCTGGCATGGAGTGCCGCTTGCATGTGCCAATGCAGGGTTCGGTGTGGCCATTCACGTAATTAGCCACCCTGCGTTGCTTAATGCGTGCGGCTTGGGCGAAAGCTTGCATGTTGATGATGTCTTTGTCCAGCAATTCCAGAGTTGAGTCATCAACTGCTCTGTGTGTCAAGGCGCTGAAGCATTCGTTTTGCGAGTTTGCCGTACTACCTGAGCCCTAAACCCCAAGCCCTGAACAGCTCTGGTATGCAAGAGCTCACTCTCCGCAATCCATGCGCGCAACATAAAACAGATAGTAAGTATGATCATTCATTCTTACAGCCAAAACCTTAAGCCTTGCACTCTCCATTATATTGGGGTATCTTCGCAGTTCGCCGCAGTTCTGGGTGCTGTGAAAGTCACCGACAAGTTCCCAGCTAAGCCTGGAAGCCGCACGAATTTCGTGTCGTTGGGAGCACAGCCGCAATGGCGAAGCATTATGGCCCAAACAAGTGATGTTGACTGGTTGAAGCTTATGTTCAATCACAGCAGCGCCTTATGATAGCTCTGGCGGGTGCAACATTGCTTGCTGTATGTGCGTTACCTGGCCCCCCAACCTTCTGCAGGCGCCAAATGAAGTGATGGGGCCGCTGCCGACACAGCAAGGACTTGTGGGCTCACACCGGTGTTTTTCTGCGTTGGGGTCCCTTGCGGGTGCCAAAGCTGCAACACAGTCTAGACAATGCAATATTATAAGGGTGCTCCCAGCATTTTGAAAACAAGTCTCCAGTGATCCTCCACGGCTCCCCAGACTTCTCCTAGACCGCTGGAGGGTGAAGAAAGAAGATCGGGATGCAAAAATGCATGCCCGGAGCCACACCCAAGCACGGGTTTCTAAGATTGTCGTTGGTCCTTGCTTCGATACTTGCACGAGGCCAGTTACTCGGGGTCAGCATATAGACCACCCGATTTCGGAAACCCGTACCACTGTTCCTCCAACTCCATCTGCAAAGCTGAAATTGAGCTCAAGTGGCCACTGTCAGCCACAGAACTAACACGTTTATGCACATGGACATGTCTGTAACATGTCAGCAAAACTCATGCATGTGTAAGCACGTCAGAAAAGCTACGACTCGTACCCTGGTGAGATAAAGATATGGTATCTTCCTCAACTGGAATGCCGGTTCCCATGAGCCGGCTGGATTTTCATTCAATCGTAGTACAAGTTTAGTACTGGAATCGCTGTTCCGCAGAGCCGGCTGGATTTTCGTTTAATCGTAGCATAAGTTTAGTACTGGAGCTCACTTGTATGCACTGTTAGTTTGTTAAGGGGTATCGGTGTTGGGTTTCCCCTATCGGTAAACAGGGTTTGCGTGCATTTACATAAACCATGACCCTTGCGATCCCCAGACCCTCTCGTAAAGGCCGGCCAGGAGCAGCAGCATGCTTCTTAGGTTCTTACAACAAGACTCTGGTTATGGATCTAGCTGTCTGCATCTAGAATTTCCAGTGAGTTCCACAGCTGGTTGGGCTTCAGGATACAGGGGTTTGAGCTCCCCATCCATGTGCAGCTCTTCGCGTTTGGAAGCTCGACGCCACTGATCTTCGTTCGATCCGGCAACTGACGACGTCCTTTGTGCACCACAGCACGCAAAGGAAGTGCAGTGAAGTTCGGGCTCGCATCGTACGCCGTAGTCCCTACCAGGCAGTCCGACTACTCCCTGAGCCCGAAATAAACCCTGCCTCGCTCCCGACCTCTGAAACGTCACATTCCAGATTCCAGTGTTGGGGGGCAAACTGTTTCTCGAGAGTTGTAAGTTTCGGCTTTGTCTCGAGATTTTCGCATGTGGCTGAGCTGGTATGGCAGTGAAAGATAATCAAGTTGCACTGAATGCCACATCCTCCCACCTTCCGTTTTGCTCTTGGTGTACTCTAGTGATTCTCCCAAGATCATGCTGTGGATGCCCTCCGCCATAGAAGAGCTCAAGCCCTCGACAACGTACACGTGCAAGCCTTTGGCCCGAACCCCTTGGTCTCTGCATCTCGGTTCCTTCCCGGGGAGGCTTCTGCAAAGAGCAACGCGGGATCGATCACCGAGTCCCACGTGGTTGCCGTGGCCGATAGGGCTCAAAGGGTCACATGTGTCACAAGGGTTCGAACTAAGAAAACATGCGCACGTAACCAGAGGCCCTCGGTGAGCCCTTCGACCGGTGCAGTCGATCAGATGAGCACGCTTTTCCTAAATCCTAAATCCCCATCTCCACACACCTAAACTTCAAGCCCCCAACCTTCAGCCGTCGAGTCTATTCGTACACGGCACTCCCAGCCCTGAACCCTGCAAGTTTGGGTTTTCGAGCCTCTTCGCTGCTAGCATGGCCTGAGCCAGTGCTTTCCGCGGTGCGGAGGTCGGGGTCTCGTCTTCGAGTCTTAGAGCCCAGTGCAGTCTCGCAGAGTCTTCCATAGTCTAGTTTTGCATAGTACAGCAGAGCAGGGTAAATGTTTCGTATACTGTAGTATGCATTAGTCTGGCAAGGTGTTGTATCGTTTACATCCTACACCACTGCATCGTATAGCCTGGTGGAGCATCTTGTAAGGCATTGCATAGGCAAGTTGTCGTGCCAGGGCTTCGTGTCAAATTAGGATTTCTGTCTGTTTGTTTGTTAGTCAGTGTATCGCTACCGAAGACTAGAATACAAGGAGCCTGCAACTGGTGACTTATGTGTTTGCTTAACACCGGTGAGGCCTTGATGGGCTACTAGGACCACCTCTCAGGATGGCGAGTACGGTCTCCATCAAGACCACCATAAGGGTTCCTACGAAGGTTGCTTTGGGGATAGTACTGCTTCTGTGGGGTGGGTTTAAATTGCTGATTTGTCCCGTGCACCCTACACCTTGAAGATTTTCGGCTCCGTGCCATAGATGCATCGCGAGATTAGAAAAGCAAGCCCCATCTATGCCAAGCAAGCCCCAATGTAAACTAGACTTCATGTGATCTGGGCAGCCACGTTTGGGGTAGAGATCCTGGCTTCCGGCTTCAGCTGTCACTGTTCAAGATGCTCGTCTTGAAGCATGAGACTGCAATCCTTACCGATTCCAACACCAAAGTGTAGAAATGTCGGAACCCTCACCCTATATAAATCCCCAATGCCGCAATCGTTGCCCTTGAAACACCAAAACCTAAACATCAAGTCTCTTGAAATTCTTTAGAGTTTGGGGGAACAGGCCTTGGAATCTTCAATCTGAGAAGTGCCGAGACTTCGGCATCGGGCTTGGGGTCTGTGGTATGTTGTGGTATGTTGTTCCGTTCTGGTACCTCAGTCCTGACGCACCCAACTCGGAAAACCTAAAAGACCCAATGAACCTTAACCCTGAAGTTCCCTGAAACCTCAAGACGTCAAGGCCAGGCTGTTTTGAGAGTTTAGGAACTTGAGGTTCAGGCTATTGTGCTTTTAGACATCAAAAAGCCACGGCTCAGCACTTAGGGCCTCATGTAAACCCTTTTTCACGGCACTTCGAGGCTCTGCTGCCGCGAAATACGGGATGTCAAGAAGGTCCATTTCTGCCAGCTAGGCGTGGGAGCTCAGCGACACTGGATTTGGCCTTTGAAATTTTGAAGGCTAGGGCGCAGGACGGCCTTATAGATAAATAAACAGAGTACAGAGTCACACATCCGCCGAACTAATACTCTTCTAGGGTTGTGAACGTGTATTGGTGGTATTTATTATAAACACTTAAATAATTAAAAAGGTGAAACAAAGGTAAAAGAAAGGTATGTGAGACAGCTGAGAAAAAGGTAACACAGCAATGGAAAGCTAAGACAAAGGTATTTGAGAAAGCTGAAAGCAAGGTGACACAGCAAACGAGAGGTAAAACAAAGGTAACTGAGAAAGCTGACAAGAAGGTAACACATCAAGAGAGAGGTCAAGAAAGGGTATCTGGAAAAGGTGACGAGCTGAGGAGCAGCAGGTAGAGTTTGAATGTTGAAGCAAACTCACTACATTGACACAGCCGAAAGTCACAACCAGTCACATGCGGTCACACGCGCGTCTGCTGACAGTTTATATTTCTGGAAGACATATATGTCGGGATGCGACTAATTATAATTATAGTTGTCTGAAAAATCCTTCAGTCACCTCCCCTTCTCTCCCTAGCTCTGAAGCTAGAATCTCCCCTCACCTCCCCTCCCCTCCGCAGAGAAGGAGGGGGAGGGGAGGAGAGGAGGGAAGGCTTTTCTCGTGCACAGGGCCTGACCTGCAGCTTTTGCTGGCAGCTTTTTTGGCCTCCAGCTATTCCGGGCACCTTTTTTTCAGCTTTGGTTTTGCAGGCCAGCTTTGCTCCAGCTTTTCCGTCCACCCTTTCTTTACCTTCTGAATCTGCGCCCAGCTTTTTTGTACCTTTTTTTCACCATTGTTTTAGCTTTTTTTCACCTTTTTTTTAGCTTTTTTTCACCTTTCTTTTAGCTTTTCCCTAGGAAAAGCTAACTTTCCAGAGGGAGGGTCGGGGGTCGGAAAAAGCTGGAAAAAAGGTGCTCGGAAAAGGTGACACAAAGCCAGTGGCGGGCGGGAGCGCGGGGGCGCGGGGGCGACGCGGGGCGCGGGCGCGGGGGAGTCTGGGCGTCGGGGGGGCGCGGGCGCGGGGGGGGGGGGCCCCGGTGGGTTGGGACAGCTTTGCGACGGCTTTTCAGCAATGTCAACCCCAGCCAGCCTGTCCGGGAGGGGAGGGGTGGGGAGGGTGCGAAGGGAGTGGGAGGCAGCCTGTGGATGCGAAACGCCCAGGCTGGAACAGAGCAGAGACATAGCTGTTTTTTTCAAGTCAGCTGCAACAGCAGTCAGTAGTCCTGACAAGCTACGAGTAACTAGTAACTAGTCGTAACTTAAAAGTAGTTGTCCTGAATCGTTGTGGTTGTCGTTGTGGTACTGAAGTACTTTTGCGAACTTGTTGGTGTTGTTGTTGTTGTTGCTGCTGCTGCTGCATATGACTACCTTTGCTTCAACTTTTCCCTGTAGCTTTGTTTCACCTTCTCTCGATATGGTTACCTTTCTTCTACCTTTTCCCTGTAGCTTTAGTTTACCTTCTTTCCAGCTTTTTAATTTTGTATGTTGAGATAGTAAATACCAAATAAACGTTCACAATTCTAGGGGCGATTGAGGCCCCTGCATCAGTGTCGATTAGTGCGGATGCTGGCTAGTTCAAGGAATACATTCTCCAACTGCAACCAAGACAGCTGCACAGTTGTGTGTGTGTGTGTGCGTGCGCACGTTTGCACGTGCATGCAGATGTATGTGCGTGAGCACCTACATACCCCTGCCTACCGAACTACTTACCTACCTACCCACCTCACCTAGCCACATACATGCATGCATGCATACATACATACATGCGAGCATCGTGCATACGTACATATTTGAAGATCGATGTGCACGTTGTTTTGCATTCTTTACTGTGTGTGTGTGTGTTGGTTTAAGCTTTCATGCAGACATACGCCTCCGAAGACACAGAAATGGCTAGAGCACTCTTCCAAAACCAGAGCTAGCCAGCTTAAGTCCCTTTCTTAAACGTCGATTCGCAGAGTGAATTCCACAACTAAGCTCCCGAAAATGCACTCATAATAGACAAGGCTTGAAAACCGCAGAACACCAGAA